TCTCCAGCCTCTGACAGAGGCCAAGGACACCATTTTATCCCCTGGCTAATAGCCTTTTATGGACCTATCCTCCATGAAATTATCTAGCTTCTCTTTAAACTCTATTATAGTCCTAGCCTTCACAGCCTCCTCTGGCAAGGAGTTCCACAGGTTGACTACATGCTGTGTGAAGAAGAACTTTCTTTTATTAGTTTTAAACCTGCTCCCCATTAATTTCATTTGGTGTCCTCTAGTTCTTATATTTAGGGAACTAATAAATAACTTTTCTTTATCGTCCCTCTCCACACCATTCATGATTTTATATACCTCTATCATATCCCCCCTCAGTCTCCTCTTTTCTAAACAGAAAAGTCCCAGTCACTTTAACCTCTCCTCATATGGGACCTGTTCCAATCCCCTAATCATTTTAGTTGCCCTTCTCTGAATCCTTTCCAAGGCCAAAATATCTTTTTTGAGGTGAGGAGACCACATCTGTACACAGTATTCAAGATGTGGGCATACCATAGTTTTATACAGGGGCAGTAAGATATTCTGGGTCTTATTTTCTATCCCTTTCCTAATAATTCCTAGCATCCTATTTGCCATTTTGATCGCTGCTGCGCACTGTCTGGACGTTTTCAGAGAACTGTCCACGATAACTCCAAGATCTCTTTCCTAATTTGTCGTAGCCAAATTAGCCCCCATCATACTGTACGTATAGTTGGGGTTATTTTTCCCCGATGTGCATTACTTTACACTTACCCACATTAAATTTAATTTGCCATTTTGTTGCCCAATCACTATTGGACCTACCATAAGTTTTTCTTTTTTAAAACAGCCACATTGAATATAATGTTGTGAAGGGACACTAGGGTTCTTTGTGTTCCCAGAAAAGGTACAGCACACAGCATGTGCCAGGAATGTGCCTGCAGGAGAGTCACTTTCCTAGTAGCCTGAAGCAAGAGAGGTTTAAGGTCCCTATCCTCTGTTCCCATCAGATACCCTGCAGACACCGTGGCAGGTGGAGCATCCTCTGTTCACAGGAAGCTCGGACCAAAAAAGCCTCTGTCTGCGGCCAGCCTGGGCTGCCATGGATAGAGGCTGCTTTGCCTTCCAGCTCAGACTCCCCCAGACAGGGGCTGCTGCCATCTCGCCCTGCTGCTGCCTCAGTATCAGAGGCAGCATGACGAGGCAGCAAGTAGCTAGTCTGCACGGGGTGCTGATTTTTAAACTGGATCCCCTTGTGGACTGGCTCCCACATGGCATGCTAATACATGGGCAGCAGCATGGGATGGCGGGGGCTTCCTGGAAGTGGAGCTGGAGCACACTGGCTGCTGGCCCTGCCCCAGGGAACTATCGAATAGTCATGTAACCGGTAAGAATTCATGTGGTTACCCAAATATTCAATTGCTTGATCTCTTACATCCTTATTGTAAACCCTGAAATTAATGGAAACTACTCCAACCCAAAGTATGAAGCAGCACCTGTATCTTTGAAGTGTTCTCATCCCCTGCTGGTCTGGTCAGAGTGACCAGATATCAAGTGTGAAGATCAGGACACTTAATTTTTGGGGGGAAGGGTGAGGAATAGTTGCCTGTATAAGAAAAATTCCCTAACATCAGGATGTCTGGTCACTCTACGTATGAGGAGCCTGGGGTCTGAACTGGAGCACAGTGCATTGTGTAGCTACAAGCTCACCCAGAACGCTTAAATGGTGCCATATCCAACTGTCACTGAAGTCAGTAAAAAACTCTTTTTGACTACAATGGAAACTGAATCAGACTCTAAGGGTACGGCTAGACTACATGCTTTTGTCGACAGAGGCTTTGTTGACAGATACTGTCGACAAAGCTTCTGTCGACAAAGAGCATCTAGACTACATCCAGTTCTGTCGACAAAGCAAGCCGCTTTGTTGACATGAGAGTGTAGACGCAAAGGACAGTGTCGATGCAATAACGCCTTCTGTCGACAAAACTCTGTCGACAAAAGGTGATATTCCTTGTAGAATGAGATTTACTGCCGTCGACGCAGGTATAGTTTTGTCAACAAAATACCACTTTTGTCGACAAAACCCTGGGCTACGTCTAGACTGGCATGATTTTCCGCAAATGCTTTTAATGGAAAAGTTTTCTGTTAAAAGCATTTGTGGAAAAGAGCGTCTAGATTGGCACGGACGCTTTTCTGCAAAAGCACTTTTTGCGGAAAAGCGTCCATGCCAATCTCGACGTGCTTTTCAGCAAAAAAACCCCGATTGCCATTTTTGCGATCGGGGCTTTTTTGCACAAAACAAATCTGAGCTGTCTACACTGGTCCTTTTGCGCAAAGCCTTTGCGTAAAAGGACTTTTGCCCCAATGGGAGCAGCATAGTATTTCCGCAAGAAGCATTGATTTCTTACATGAGATCGTCAGTGTTCTTGTGGAAATTCAAGCGGCCAGTGTAGACAGCTGGCAAGTTTTTCCACAAAACAAAAACTTGCCAGTCTAGACACAGCCCTGTAGTCTAGCCACAACCTTAATGAAGACAGATTATATTGCTTTGATGTCACAGCTTTGCAATAAAGCTTTCTGATGATATCATAACTACAAGATAGGCATTCATTTTACTAGCTGGCATTGGGATTTTTGCTACATTCATTAAGAGCAATGTAATAGATGCGATACAGTAAGTAGAACAGAACATGATATGTATTTGTATGCCTCTGATGTCCATCTTGTATCATGTTTTTTTCTTGTTTATTTTATGTGACACCAATGAATTGCAAGAGGGGTTATAAAATCCATGCAATTGTGATATTATGTAATATTACAGCTTTATAAAAATTGCAAATAAAATTAATACTTTATAAACTAGTTTTATTTCAAGTTGCAGTTAGGTAAATGTTACATGATTTCAAGGACGTGTTTGTTTTTGTGGACAATATTAATATTTATTCACTTCACAAAGGGCTTGTGAGAGTTCATCTATTCATGTTTTTACTGGGCTTTGAATATGTAAAGTTTATAGCAAGGGTTCTCACAACATAGTTTTTGGTGGCCTCATGGGTGCGGCCACCAACTCTTGCTAGTGGCTGCTCTAAGAATTTTTCCTAAAATACTTAATTAACTTCAGGAAAAACAAATAAATATTCATAGATGTCCAAATAATTGTAATGCATTTATGGAGGGTTTTTTTGCAGACTCAATAATACAAATAATGCACAGTTGTCTCTTTACTGGGTCTAAATAGAATAGCACTAAAAAGATGTTTTGCATATTTTTTCATTTTTTATTGCTACTTATTATATCTGTTATTGTGAAAAAATTATATTTGTATATTTATTTCACAGCACATTTACTCAACCATGGCATGCTGGGAGACAAATTCAACGCTGGGGGATGAGGAGGTGGGTCAGGAGGCTCAGGAGGCCAAGGGGCAATACTTTATAAACTGGCTTTAAAGTATTTTAACTTCCTGCCAGGTAAATGTTAACTGAATCCAGGGACATGCCTCTGGAGGAGGTAGTGGGGGTCAAGACGATGGTGCGGGGTGGAGTGAGTCCAGGCATGGAGCACAAAACCCTGCAGCTGAGGGGTCAGAGCACTTCACCCACTACCCCAAAGCATTCTGGAAACCTGAAGCTTGAGCCTCACTGCCCCAGGAGGGTGGAGAATTCACACTGGTTGCCTGCTCCTAAGTGTTTCTTTCTCTGGAAGCTGGTAGGGGCCAACCCTTGCAGACAGCTCTGGTGGATGGGGAGTAACTGCCCATTTGAGACATGCTGGCCTAGTGCCCCAATCCTGCTTCTACTTCGACTCGGACCTAATTTTAAGCATGTTAGCTTCATTGAAAGGAAAAGATGTGAAGTTCAGCATATTCCTTAAGTGTTTGTAGGATTGGGTCTTACGCAGGAGCGCCTCACATGCAGCACAGCCCCAGCGGTCACACTGCACGTTGGGTTCCCATCTCCATGTTGGACTGAAAGAGAATTTCAGTATGTGCTACAGATAGATTGTAATGTGTCATAGATTGTAATGGGCTTCCCCGCTCCTGCTGGCTGGGTTGCAGGTGGGTGTGGTTTGAAAAGGTCTGGGTGATTGGTAATTGAAACAAAGTGGGTTTGTTTGGGGGAGGACATATGTGTGTGTGGGCGGGGGTGGGCGGGGCACTGCCCCTTTTCAGCTCCAAGTAGGCAATAGATGCAACGTGAGGGCTTTAGTTGCAGAGGCGTAGCGAGGGTGTTATGCGCCCGAGGGCAAAATCAAAATTTGCGCCCCTCCCCCCGCTACCGCATGACAGGGCCCCAAATCTGGTACACAGCCGAGCCCAACCCTGGGAGGAAGGGGGGAGCTTGTACTGCGCCTTCCCCCACCCTGTTCAGTTTGGGGCGGGCCCTATTCCGCTATTGAAGAGCGAGGAGGGTGGGGCTGAGGGCTCAGAAGCAGAAAGATGGCTTCAGCAGGCAGTGGTGGGCAGAGGAGGAGGAAGAAAGAAAACAGGGAGGCCAAAGGGAATGGTTAAGAGCAGTATTTCTCAACCTTTTTTTAATAAAGTATGCCCAGTACCTACATTTTCAGACACGAAATTTTTTCTTCCATT